GTGTGTGAGTTACCCCTTCAAATCAGGCTCATGTACCTGCAAAGGTGCTTCCTTTATTCTCTCTCTCTCTCTCTCTTTTTTTTTTTTTGAGACATGATCTCACTTTGCTGCCCAGGTTGGAGTACAATGGTTCAATCATAGCTCACTGCAGCCTTGAACACCTGGGCTCAAGCAACCTTCTTGCCTCAGTTTCCCAAATAGCTGGGACTACAGGCATGTGTCACTACACTCAGCTAATTTTTTTTTTTTTTTTTTTTTTTTAAAGAGATGGGGCCTTGTTATGTTGCCTAGGCTGGTCTCAAACTCCTGAGCTCAAGCAATCCTCTTGCCTCCACCTCCCAAAGTGCTGGGATCACAGGCATGCACCACCACCCCGGCCTTCCTCCTTTTAGTCTCTAAGTGCCATCAGCAGAGGGCACACATGCACACACTATTGGGAGCATGGCTCCTCACATAACATACAGGGTGTTCACCAAGACGGCGCCAGCCTTCCGAAGTGCTCATAAGCAGGAAGAGCTCAATTCAAGCCTGTGAAATGGATTCATTACAACAGGAAGACATCGAGTCCATCAACTCACAGTGAAGGCAGGACAGCTCGGGGTTGTGTTCAGATAATTACTCCTTTAAAAACTCTCACAGGCTTCTCACTGACCACAGTGTAAACTCTAAAGTCTACAACCTTTAATATGATTGACAGAGCTCTTGATTGTCTGACTCCAAATCAGTTTCTGTTTTGTTTTAAATCTCTTCCTTTAACTTACTCTTAAACATCTCAAATGTGCCAAGTTCTCTATTCCTTTTGAGCCTCTCTTAGGTGCCTTTCCTTCTCCCCTACACCCTGAGCCCAACTTTACCCCTTCATTTCTCAGCTTAGACAGTAATTTCCTAAGGAAGGAAGACTTTCTTTACCCTCCAAATGACATAGTCTTCCTTGTTTTGTGCTCCTACAGGTCTCTGTGCTTCTCTGTCATAAAACTGCCTCATTTGTTTAATGTTGTTTCTCTTACTGAACCATTAAGTTCCCTGAGAGCAGGGACTACACATTTTTGTTCACCTCTGTATAAACAAATGTCATTCAAATTCTATTAAAGTGGAGCTTCTTCCTTTAAAAGTCAAATAAGGGCCAGGCATGGTGGCTCGCGCCTGTAATCCTAGCACTTTGGAAGGCCAAGGCGGGTGGATCACCTGAGGTCGGGAGTTAGAGACCAGCCTGGCCAACATGATGAAACCCTGTCTCTACTAAAAATACAAAAAACAAACAAACAAAAAAATTAGCTGGGCATGGTGTTGGGTGCCTGTAATCCCAGCTACTCAGGAGGCTGAGGCAGGAGAATCACTTGAACCTGGGAGGTGGAAGTTGCAGTGAGTCGAGTTTGCCCCACTGCACTCCAACCTGGGCAACAGAGCAAGACTCTGTCTCAAAAGAAAAAAAAAAAAGGTCAAATAAGAACCAACAAGGTAATTTCCAGATACCTGTTCATTAACAATGACTATATGCTTTTCAAAACAGAACTTCTATCATTCATTGTCCATCTTTTAAAAGCAAAGACACTAAAAGCAAAACCAAACATCATTTCCACACCTGGGGGATGGGGTTTCCGTCTAGACTTTTGTATGGAAAGAATTAGAAGATTTCTCCTTCCTTACCACATCTTGACTTGGATTTTGTTTGCTTTAAGGTTTTAGGATTCCAGCATGCCACCAGCATGATTTCTACCAGAGAAGTTAAAAATTGTATTTTTCATCACCAAGTATCCTATCATCAATCTGAGTCACACAACAAACTAGTGGAGTCACTTCTTCTGGCATAAAATATGAAATGTGCCATAGGAACTTGGTAATATCTCCATTCACAAAACCACTGGAGCCAGGAGTTCTGACCCTAGTCATGAATTGTCTAGTTTGGCTGCTCAGAGTCATGTGTCAGCCTTCTCCCTGATCATGAACTTGGAGGTTGGCCAGCCAAGCAATACTCCCAAGATTTCCAGGCATGAACAGGAAGAAAATTGTATTTTACATTCCATTTCGTTCAACTCATGTTGTAATTCTGGGAAGCCCGGGTGCCTGCTTTAAATGTTCTACAGATAAACATGAAGAAATGACATGCATGCATATCATTATCATGATTGTACTCAATATGACATCAAGACTAGAGCAGGCTTGCATGGATGAATTACTATCCCCCTGTAGGGAGCAGAAATCAATCCTATGAGGGTAGGATATGGAGAACAGATCAGTATCAGCATGGAGGGAAGTACTGGGGAGATTGATACTGGGTTGCTGAGATGCCACTGGCAAGCCTTAGGATGCTGACTTGTTTAAGGCAACCTTGGTCCTGGTGGGGAAGCCTGATGGACAACAGCCGGTGGGGGAATCAGGAGAAAGCATTAAAATGTCTTTATATTAGACAATTGTTTATGTGCTGGAAATAAAGTTGGAGGTAATATGGTGAGGGGTTCGATTAACAGACAGAGCCAGAGAAACCTGAACATACTCATGCTATGGTCTGAATGTTTGTGCCCGCCCCCCACCTTATTCATTTGTTGAAACTTTATCACCAATTTGATGGCATATATTAAGAAAGTCACTGCACTCTTCCTCTTCTTCCTCTCTTTCCTTTCCTTCCCAAACAATTCAGTCCAAAAGTCACTAGGCCAGGCTGAATAAGATGGTACCTGCTGTAGTGTTGGAGCCCAGGGAGGGTAAGGAGGGTGCTGGTGAAGGGGGGGTGGCAGTGGCCACCCAGAAATGATATTGGAGCCCAAGTTTGGTGAGGAAAACAGGAGACTGGTTATACTGGAGTGAGGGGGAAGGAGGGCTAGTTAAATAATAAACATATTACAGATAATAAAAACTAAGTTTTTATTAAAAACAAAACCTTGTTGTCAAGAAGGTGGTTACAAATATGGAAAGGGAGAAAGTATGAATGAGCCTTTTATTATATAAGAATTAAAAAGCAATGGGGCAAACTCATGGTTTTCAAGAGAGATGTGTATAATTTCTAATTCTGTCCACTGAGAGTGCTCGGGGCCAGCGACAATGCAATAACAATGAGCACAGCTCGCACTCAGATCTTTGTTTGTAAATACCATTCTCCATCATCAGAAACTAGTGCTCTTTGGAGAGACGACTGATTTCAGGGTTGGGAAAGTATAAGATGAAACTGGAATATCTTGCGATGCCAGAAATTGAGGAAGCATTCAAAGGATAACGGGGACATCTCCAAAGGACATATAAGTTAGCCAAAAGGGGCTCCTGTGAGCAGTAACTGAACAAGTTAAGGATAAAAATAATAAAAGAAATGAATTATAATCCATTGAATATCACAGGAATCCATGAGATCATACCAACATAAATAAATGAAGTTTGATAAGAAGTGGGGTGAAAATTGCATAATACCAAAGTATTGCCCTACAAAATATATACGAATTACAAAAGAAAAAAGTAACTACTGTGCAGAAGCCTGGCAGACACTCCATCAATGGAGTGATCATAATCAATATTAAGTGATCAGAGTTGACACCTGTCCCCATAATGGGACAAACTAATACCACATGCTACCTGTTTGGATACAGTAGCATGAGAACACAGCATCAACTTAGTGGGATTCCTACCAAAGAGGCACAACCTGAAAATAATCATATGAAAGCATCAGAGACCCACATTAGGGAGCAGTCTACAAAATTGGGGGTGATGGGGTATCATATTGGCAATTTACTCTCAAATGATTCAAAATAGAAAGACATTTGTACTGTACTTGGGAACTTTTCTTTAGGTTGGAGATTCTTTCAAAATTTAAAAAGTTAATGAGAAGAGTGACCTTGTGTTATTGTAGATTTGATGGAAGCCAAGTGTCAAGATAAGATTAAGATCTGGATGGACCAAGATAAGTGTCAACAATTATACTTTAGGGTAATGATTCTGAAATTTTCTCCAGTGAAGCATCAGTTTCTCCCCACCAGTCCATTATGAAGCAATAGTTTTGTAAAATGCAAAAATCCCACGCTTGGATTTCAGGACAATATCGTATTGCAATAAGAGTTTTCAAATGCTTACTCTCAATGTCTGAACTTAGAATGAACCAGTAGCAAATGATTTCTGGACTAGCTTGGACCACGCTTTGAGCAGTGTTTTCTACAGTTGAAGATGCGTGGATCCCTGATTGCCATCAAATCCACAGTTGAAGATGCGTGGATCCCTGATTGCCATCAAATCCACATGGAAAATCAAAACAACTGGTCACACTGTTATCCAAATGGTAGCAATAATAATTAGCACCCTAATTAACATCAACCATCTACACAAAGTATTCAAAAAAGGGACTGCCCAGGCAATATGAAGGGATTAAACACTTGCCTTTGTGAAGAGTCATTCAACTTCTCGAAAGGGGTCACATGATAAGAAAAGATGTGCCCACCCCTGATTCCAAAGTAGTTGCTTTGTGGTGACTTCAGAAGAAAAACCCAGTTACACAGAAGATGAACAAAAATATTTTGCATGGACCAGTCTGCAATGCCAAGCCATGACTATCATTGCTGGGAAGGGAACCAGCATTCAGAAGGGGTTAGTAGAGGACAGCTCCCAAATCAGATGGGTTTGACTTAACTACAGATACTGAGGGTCAAGCTACTGATTCCAACATAGTCCACACACGGGCCCACTCTGGTTCTATGCCACAAACAGCCTCTCCTTCATACAAGGGCAGGCTTTCAAGTAAAAGAGAACAATTCTTTATAACAAACCAAGTCCAAAGCAGAACAACAAAAAAGGAGCGATTGCATCCTCTGGAAAGTGGCAAACTCCATCCAAGCTCAGGGTTCTTCTAGAGGACACTCTGACACTTTTGTGGCATGTTCCTGTATGCTGGAATTCTCATGCTAGTGTCCCCCCAACACTTATTCCAGACACACACAGAGGAGGCTCCACATAGAAACCCATGAGCTGGAATCAACAACAACAGACTGCTGTGGCATGTCTCTCATGTGAGGCACCTCACTTACCTGGGGCAGTTTTATAGCATGTTCTGGAGGGCAGCGATGGGGCGTTCTTTGTCCTGGGGCTCTGTGTACTCTGCAAGACTTGTCTCTGCCTCTTCAGCTCCTCTTCCCTTTCCTGAGCTGCTCGGATCTCTTCCTCGATCATGGACAAAGTCCGCTGTTTCCTGGACCTCAGCTTGAAGGGTCCAACCATCACGTCGGATTCTTGAGTGGCCAGGAGGGAGGCTGTGCTTCTCAGCTCAGCTGCCTCCGAGTACTTGCTGAAATAGCTTCCTTCGGGCCTGGTCTCCTCCATGTTAATCGGGCCACTGGGTTGCACAGCTGGCAGTGGCTGGGGGGGCCCCCTTTCCCTGAGTGCCCTGTCTTCAGCAGGCAGAATCTTTGGTAATACATCCCTTTTCTCTTGAACAGGAGAAGACACCTGAGGTGGCTCAAACATGCTCTGAGGCTTTTCTGAGCCGAAAGCCCCAGCTTCAGCTTCCTCTACAGTTGCTTCAGGTCCCTGTTGCTCTGCTCCATCCCTGCTGGTTTTAGACACAGCTTTATCCACCTGCTCGGCTATGGCTTGTTGAATGGCATTCTGCACCAGGAGGCCAGCCTGATACTCCAAGGGATCATCAACCGACGGAGAGTCCCCCAGCGTGGAGGAAGGGGAATAGAAACCATGATCGCTAAATGACTTGGAGACGCCTTCTCCTCGGCCCTCTGAGGGGTTGTCAGTTTGTGGCGTCTGCGGCAGAGAAAAATCAGCCAGTGAATTTTCCTGGAGGGCATTGGTTGTCTCATTGGAGGCCCCACTGTCACTGATGTTGTCCATGCTGAAATCATTGGATAGGGTCTCCAGGACTGTGGTATCCTGAGACCTCACCGACAATTCATCAAGACCAGAGTCAAGCTCCTCTTGGGTCAAGGAGACATTGACAGATTTTGAGAACTGATCCAAAATCCCATGGTCATCATCCTTGACCACGGTGAGGACGGCCCGGGCGCTCGTAAATTCTCCATCCTCTGCCCACAGTTTAGATAAGGGCCCACGTTTAGAAGGCTCGCTGTAGGGCCCTTCCTTCCCCTGAGGGGCTGTGTTGCCCTGGCTTCCTGCTGCCGATGGGGTCTCCAGGGCACCGGGGGATTTCTGTCCCTTGGTGGCTGAGGCACCACTGTCTTCTGGAGGTCCCCCGACAGAAGGTGGTCTCGGATTAGTCAGTGGCTTGTCTGAGTTGACTGATCCCAGAGGCCTGTAGAAAGGCTTGATGGAGAACAGCCTGGGTGTACTCTGGCCCTTGGCCACTGCTTGCCTGGAATTCTCCATCAGCTGAAATTGTTTGCGAGCAGCAGAGAAATCTATCTGCTCTGTGACAATGTCCTCCTTTGCTTTGTCAATCATGCTTGCGTATTCATGAGAAGAGGCAGGGGCTGTGCAGAGCTGCGATGGGGGCTGCTGCTGCTGCTGCTGCTGCTGCTGCTGCTGCTGCTGCTGCTGCTGTAACTGTTGCTGCAGCAGCAACTGTTCCTGCTGTGCCCTTTTCTCCTTGCGCTCCTTGTACTTTTTGTGCGACTCCAAATGTTCCTCGTCCAGCTGCTCCTCGATGGTTTTTTCCTGCGGGGGATTCCACCATTTTGCTGCAATGCCAGGATTCTTCTTGACGGCCTGGCTGCGGATGAGCTCCCTCCTCTCCTTTTCCAGCTCCAGCATCTCTTCCGAAGGCCTCACTTTTCTAACGCAGTATTGTTCTTTCTCACGCTCGTCATCCTCAAAGAGCTTGGAGGGCTTCTTGTCCTCATGGAAGGCACGCAGCTCAAACTTGGCCTCCTTCTTCAGTGTGGTGAGAGTGAACTCTCCGTCTCGGGAAGAACACCATGAGCTGGTTGAGGAGCTGGGGCTGACAGGGGCCTGCAGGCTGTCCCCCAGCGCATCTCTAGGCTGGCTGGGGGAATGGCCATTTGTTCTTTCTGCCTCTGCCATGGGGTCAGGGCTGCTATTACTGAGCTCGATGTGAGGCGGTGCCTGCTGGCTAGCTGTTCTCTCAGTGGGTTCTGGTTGGGCCGTCTCGTGGACAGCGGGGCTTAGGCCGCCCACCAGGACCACTGCACCAGGCTCTGGGGAGGATGTTCCATTGAATGTTCCGTCCACAGCAGAATCACAGCAGTTGGCCTCCAGCACCTCATCTAGATAGCGGATCTCTCTGGCAACATCGTTATCCAGGGATTCGTGGTGATCCGTGAGGAGGCCATTATGTGGGGGTGAATAGAAAGGGGAAGGGTGGTCCATGGGATGTGGGGTAGAGGTGATTCCAGGAACACTTTTACATTCTGCAACAGACACCTCAATTTCCATGTTCTTGTGATCTGGAGAAAGAGAGCTGGTAACAGGCTCCAGGAGGGTGGCACTATAGTCGTCTCCCTCGCTTTTTAGCCGGATATCATCCTCAGAAAGCTGGGGAGGCTTCTGGAATAAAGAGAAAACAGAAGTCGGGGTTAAATACTGCATCTCTTATGGATGTGAATGCTGACAAACTGACTCATAACTAAGAGGAAGGAAAATGGAAACCACAGTGACAAATTCTTTTGAATAGAAATTTCCTAATAATCCCTTAAATGTTCATTTTCTTGTAGTAACGGGTGCCAAACCCTCTCTATTTTACAGATTCCATTTTGTTTACATGCTAGTGCCATTTTTAAATTTTATCTACTAAGGTGTAAGGGATTACATCATTATTGTACCAGAGTCTTCCCAAGTATTTTGTAGCAAATGATTGCAGGCTATGCAATAGGACTATTAATAGGATTGAAAAAAGAAGGTCCTTTTGTATGAACAGATCTTTAAAACATATGACTCTCTGCCATTAATGCAGTTATTCTGGAGACAAGAAACTTTTTGGAAAATCTTTCCAGAATAAAATACTGGAAAACAGTAGATCCCTTTAATGGCAGCACATAGGCTACAGTGCCTTACTGCCACGGCTGTTACTGACCATGTGCCTTATAAACACCATCACCAAAGCCACTGACTGCACAGCTGTTTTCTGGGATGGCATCAAAATAATACTCTTTAGTTAAGAAGTCAGCATTGCTTTGAAAAGCTAATGGCCAATGGTACCTCTCCTCCAGTTTCTTAACTGCTTTATATGTGATATCTTCAGTTTGTGATTCAATAAGAAAACTCTATCTTCTTAATGTTTTAAAATCCATCATATATATATACACATACATATACACACACACATACACACACACACACACACACACACACACACACATATACACATATTATTTTTTAAGATGGGGTCTTGCTCTGTGGCCCAGGCTGGAGTGCAGTAGTGCCATCTTGGCTCACTGCAACCTCCACCTCCCAGGACTACAGGTGTGTGCCATCACCCCTGGCTGATTTTTTTTTTTTTTTTTTTTTTTTTTTGTAGAGACAGAGTTTCTCCATGTCACCCAGGCTGGTCTTGAACTCCTGTATTCAAGCAATCTGCCCGCCTCAGCCTCCCGAAGTGCTGGGATTACAGACATGAGCCACCATGCCCAACTTATCTATCCTATTTTTCTACCAGTTATCTAGCCTATGTAATTTTGTTATTTGGCATTAGAAACATTAATTTTCAAATTATAAGATGATTTTCTTTTTCATATCAAAGGACTCTGGCTTATCTCAAAGAATTCCAGTAAAGTATAAATTTAATTAGAGTTACCCTCAAGGACTTTACTAACACCTAGGTCGGCTTTGTCTCCCTATCTCAAGTTTATAATGTGCCTTGTATTATTGACATAGGACAATGCAAAATTGCAAGAGGGTGTAATCTTCATTTATCTAAGATTTCAACAATTTTAAATGCTTAGAATATTAAAGCACCACCTTGGGATGATTCTCAGGAAATTAATTTCAAAATCCTTCCCCAAAAAGTAGATAATTATGGATTTGTTTTTAAGACCTAAGAAAACACAGGAGTTCACCGTAAGTGCTCTACATTGCTGTCAAAATGTTGAAAAACTCTCCAGGTTATCCATGAACTGGGGGGTTTCCTTCAATCTTCATTTCCCACGTTTCCTTTCAGACTTAAATTATTCAAGTAATGTATAGGTCTTCTCCATTAACAGGCACGAATAATGAGTATTCCTCTTTTGTCAACATCTTCTGTTCTCTGATTTTCTTCCAGTCTAGGTCTGGTCTTTGTTAAACAGTGATACTTAACACAATATTTATAATTGCTAACATCTTTATTTTTTATTTTTGACCATCATTAAATAGTAGTTTTTGCTGCTACCTTCCTTTTTTTTTTTTTTTTTTTAAAAGAGACAGGCTCTTGTTCTGTTGCCCAGGTTGAAGCACAGTGATGTGATCATAGTTCACTGCAACCTTCAACTCCTGAGCTCATGGGATCCCCCTGCCTCAGTTTCCCTTAGGACTACAGGTGGGTGTCACCATGCCTGGCTAATTTTTAAAATTTTTTGTAGAGATAGAGTCTTGCTATGTTGCCCAGGCTAGTCTCAAACTCCTGGACTCAAGTAGTCCAGCCTTGGCCTCCCCAAAGTGCTGGGATTACAAGCGTGAGCCATCCTGCAGGGCCAGCCCTTTTAAAACTGTTAACTAAACTTTTTGTTGGATAAGGCATTGTTGGTAACTTCTACTCATATATCATTAAGAATTACACAAAATCTGAATGCTGAAACTTACTGGCGGCCATTCAATTCCAAGTAAACCTAGGCCAAAATTAGCCCACTCCATGGAAAATTATTATTGGAATAAGAAGACAAAGAGAGATTCATGGTACTGCTAAGATGAGTCAGATTACCTATGGCACCCTTACCCCTGGCTTCTTTTGGCTAATGACTCACTGCTGATATTCTGCATGGGAACAACAGAGCTCTCCTTCTATCCTTTTTGGCTTTGGGGTCGAGGTGGGCGGAGGGGAGTGGGAAAACAGTAGGAAGCCGGTAGGACTGAAATATGGTTAGAAAACACTGCTCTCCTGAAACACAAGATGCTTTAGAATACTTGAGGAGAGGAAGAAGGGCAACGTAATAGTAAAGGAAACTAAAAGGCAAATAATTAGTTCTATAGTTTAATGAATTAATCCATTCATTAAACATGACGGGAACTTATTCTGCAGGGTCACAATGAAATTAGCAGCAACGATAAGCTCCAGAAGACAATACCCTTTCTTAAAAAAAAAAAAAAAAAAAAAAACGAGTTCCCTGTACTTCCAAGAAAGCCCTAAGTCTATTGCTGACGAGTTGATGGGTGCAGCACAGCAACATGGCACAAGTATACATATGTAACAAACCTGCACGTTATGCACATGTACCCGAGAACTTAAAGTATAATAATAATAATAATAATAAAACAAAATATTAAAATTATATGTTCATAAAACAAAAACAAAAAAAAAAGAGTTTTCTTAGTCTGAATCAGGCAAATGAAGAACTTGCCTCTCTTTGTCTCTTGTTGCTAATCAGAGGAAGGAGTGATGTGGCTTATCTCCAAAGCCATTTCCCAAGAAGCCTTTCCGCTCCTCACATCAGCATTGTCCCTTTCTCTTGAATGTTTCACACATCAAGTGCTCGATGATGAATGAGCAGATGCCTTTCCATGTTTTCTTTTTAGGACTCAACAATTGAACAGCTCTTTCTAAGGCACTCTTTTTAAACTACAAATAGTTGTTTTGGTACCAAATTTTTAAAATCTAAGACGAGAATTTGACAATATACTTTTGCAGTTGTCTGAAAAAAATACATAAAACTGCCATTATCTTTGAATCAGAAATTAATTTACAAGTAGTTATGTCTTCTGTGATCGGTCAAACAGATTTTAAAATATGCTAGTTAGTTGGCAGAGTGCAGTAGCTCATGTCTGAAATCCCAGCACTTTGGGAGGCTAAGGTGGGTGGATCACTTGAGGTCAGGAGTTTGAGACCAGCTTGATCAACATGGTGAAACCCCCTCTCCACTAAAAATACAAAAGTTAGCCGGGCATGGTGGTGTACACCTGTAATCCCAGCTACTTGGCTTGAGAATCGCTTGAACCTGGAAAGCGGAGGTTGCAGTGAGCCAAGATAGTGCCACTGCATTCCAGTCTGGGCGAGGAAGTGAGACTCTGTCTCAAAAAAGGTTGGGTGCGGTGGCTCACGCCTATAATCCCAACATTTTGGGAGGCCAATGTGAGCGGATCACTTGAGGTCAGGAGTTTGAGAACAGCCTGACCAACGTGGTGAAACCTCGTCTCCACTAAAAATACAAAAGTTGACCAGGCATGGTGGTGTACACCTGTAATCCCAGCTATTTGGCAAGAGAATCACTTGAACCCAGAGAGCGGAGGTTGGAGCATTCCAGCCTGGGTGAGGAAGTGAGGCTCGGTCTCAAAAAGGAAAAAAAAAAAAAGAAGAAGCTGCCCACGCGGTGGCTTACCCCTGTAATCCCAAAACTTTGGGAGGCTAAGGCAGGCAGATTACCTGAGGTGAGGTCAGGAGTTTGAGACCAGCCTGGCCAACACAGTGAAACCCCGTCTCTACTAAAAATACAAAAAATTAGCCAGGCGTGGTGGCAAGTGCCCCTGTAATCCCAGCTACTTGAGAGGCTGAGGCAGGAGAATCGCTTGAACCTAGGAGGAGGAGGTTACAGTGAGCCAAGATCACGCCACTGCACTCCAGCCTGGTCAATAAGAGTGAAACTCCATCACACACACACACGCACACACACACACACAAAAGGCCAGTTACTTGTTAAAAGTCAAAGTTAGTGGGGGTTCCAGGGTAATTTGAGATGAATCCTTTCCAATACATTTTTTTAAACCTCTAGACACTGGCGGGTGTAAACAGGAAAGAGGCCCTCCTTCTTGTGAGCTATATGGCATCCAGTTCCCCTTTCCCATAAATTCAGAAAATTCTTCCTGACACTAAATTCCATCTACTCAGGGAGCAGCAGGTTTAACCTCTAATTGGTATGGAAGTATTTAAAGAGATAAACAACTCTGAATTACTGATTCACAATCATGCACCAGAGGTCTTGAGGTTTTGTAAAGTTAGACAACAATGATAACAAAAGAGCGAATTCCTGAGTTCCACTGTAAGCAGTAAGAATTTGCCTTCATGCATGATGGCCTGATGGAATCAAAGCCACTGGCAACTAAACCAGGTAAATAAAAATGGGCTGGAAATCTAACCTATCCGGATTGGGCAGGAATCTGGGCTTGGTATCGTCAGATGATGTCTTGTTTAAACCAACAAATGCTTATTGCTCTCTTTGAAGATAAGAAGGTCCAGAATTTTCTCCATGCTTCAGATTAGGTGAATGTGATTCCAGATTTAGATAAGATGCACATTCATTCAATCAACAGGAAAGTCCTTTTTGAAATGAACTATTTCCCAATGCAAAAAAACAGAAGGATATGAAAGAATTATCAAACTGGGTTTTCTAAGGTCAGAGAAAAACTAGGGTGCAAAGGGGCTG